CCTTCTGCCCGTGGGCGGCGCAGAGCGCGCGTTTCACCAGCGAGGAGCTGAGAGGAGCCGCTGAGGGGGCTGCCCAGGCCGGGTGCCTGCCCGGCCCCTCGCTGCCCGCGGGGCCGGGGCTGCGGCGCCTCTGCCCTTACCAGCCGTACACCAGGATCACGTCGTTCTCCTTGATCTTCTCAAAGGCAGATCGAGAAATGACTTCTGCTGCCAGGAGGATCTTCTCCCGCAAATACTTGTCGATGGTGTCCTGCAGCTTCTCCTTGGCCTGGGGAAAGGTGTTGTCACGCGCAGCACGGCTGTGCCCCATGCAGCCCGCAGAGCCTCCCCTGCGCCCTGCCAGCCTGCTCGCTGCGGGCACCTTCTCAGCGCCAGGGGTCTGTGGAGCTGCTCCCCGTGTCCCCGCGCTGCGCAGGGGGAGCTCTGCCTGCCCAGGACACTCGTGGCTGCCCCTGCAGATGTCACTGCTCAGACCTTTGCAGACCCTCCCTGCCCTCGTTCCCCAGCCCCTGGGCTGCGGGGGAGCTTCCTGCACCGACAAGCAGTTCCGTCCCCATCCACAGCTGACACCGCCGTGCTGGCTGCACCGGGGCCCTGGGGGGCAAGGGCACCTCAGTGTCAGGAGCTCTTGCCCTGCGCTGCCAGGGATGGCGCCGGCTGGAACCGTCCCATGGCCGTTCGAGTGGTTTCTCAGCACGGCGCTGGGTGGGCTGCTGCCCGTGCTGCAGACGGTGCTGAATGTGCTGGCAGTACACGCTGCTCCTGCGGCCTTCCCTGCTCTCGGCACCTTTTCCCTCCAGCACCGAGGCACTTGCTCTCCCGTGTCACTGTGGCCCACCCCGATCCCCCAGGCTGGTGCAGGGAGCAGGTCTGGCCACGTCCCTGGGGCCGCAGCGGGTGGCAGGGCATCCTCAGCGTCCCTGCAGGCTGCGGCACATATGTCTGTCCCCTCCACCAGGGCCACCCTGCAGCGTCCCCTTCTTTCTCAGCAGAGGCTTGTGGTGGGGTCTGCTCACTCACCTCCTCCTCTCGCAGGGTGTCGGGCAGGCAGGAAATCTCCTTCTTGAGGAACTTGATGGCGTTGCCCATGCTGGCGGAGAGGGGTCGGCACTGGTTCAGGAAGCTGCAGAGAGGGACCAGGCTCAGTTCGGCAGCGCGTGGCGGGAGGAAGGTGCAGAGGGGATGGTGGGGAGGCCGCAGCAGAGCCCCGGGAAAGCCCGGCCGCATTTGGGTGCACTCGGGAGGAGCCGAAGGGGCTGGGCTCCCACTGCCGGCCTCACCTGATGTGTGGCTTCAGCTTGGCCACCAGATCCCGTGAGAGCTCCTCGTGCGGGGGAGTCGAGTAATCCCGGATCAGCTGGGACACGGAGGAGGGTGGGTGAGCGCGGGGCGCTCACTCCTACCACGGCCGCCTGCTCTCGAGGGGCTGGGCTAGGGCTGAACCGTGCGGGGCAAAGCCGGGCGCAGGGCAGCACAGCGGGGACACGTGAGCTGCACCGCGAGGAGGGCAGGGGTGCCTGCCCTGGCACAGCGAGCGGCTGCCTGGGCAGCTTGAGTACCTGTTTGAAGACCTCCAGCAGGGCAATGCAGCGGGCGTTGGAGCCGTTGATGATCCCCTGGGAGTACTGAAGGCCGAGGCGCACCACGGCCGGATGGATCACTGTGGAGGGGATGCTGCAGGGACAGATGTGGGGGAACCGTCAGCAGCGCCGCTCCGCGCCCGGGGCG